CTTGTGAATTTTTTTGACAACGTTTGTGAAAATACTATGTAATTACTGTAAGAATGATTAGCTCTTACAAAGTGATAAAAATGAGATGCATCAAATAACTTTGTAATCGTTGTGCTTGGAGCTTTATTATTTATTATTTCAGTTCTTACCGGTCACTGTATGAATCATATGATCATAAAGATTCAAGGAAATTGAATGATTTCGATTGATCGTTGACCTTTGAGAATGTATTGATAGTAGAATGAAAGATGAAGTGTAGTAAGGTCATAAATGGGTTAAATAACTTCCCCGATTCCGTTTACATTTCAAGAAGTAATAGTGTATCAGATAGTAAAACATAAATATAGACATGAATCTATCTTTAACGAAATAAATAAGTAAATATGCTGAAAATAATTTCATTATTCCTTGAAAATACGGTCTAAAATACCAAAAATTTATTAGAACATCACTGAAATTATTTACAGTCAATGAGTGCATCACCAAGCGCAATTGTACGTCGTTCGCGCCAAAGTATTTGGCCAGCTATAACGGTGGAAGAAGCAATAAGAATAGTGGAGGAACATGCTGGATACGCGTCATTAACGGATAGAACACGTACAGTCTTCATTACGGATATCAAAACAGGTGTATACACTCACAAATTTAAACAATTCCAGAAGTGGTAATAGCTGCATTTATTTAAGAAGGGATATTGAATAGATAGGACATATATGTTTGTATGTCCTTATGATTCATATTAGAAATTGAAGGATTTCTTTCTGTATTAATTTGCTTTACTTAATATACTTAGTATGTTATATATATATTTTAAAAGAGAATATTGATTATTGAAATTCAGGAGATATTCTAGCGGAAAATGTGGTTGCGACAAAAGCACACCCTGAAGTGCGCACATCTGTTAAGGATGGATATGCTGTTGTGGGTTAGTTATTTAAATGTTCACTTATCAATTGTACTAATTTAAAACTGCAGAGAAGTTAAATTAAGGTTCTTAAATAGTTTTTTTTGTTGAGGCAATTATTTTCAGCAAAAATAAATTTGATGAGAGATATTTGAAGCATCAGATGGTAAAGGTATTCGAAAGGTTGTAGCTGGAACAACGGCCGGTCTTCTGGCTTCTGATATTCTTCGACCAGGCACTATCTGTCGGGTAACTACAGGTTAATTAATTCTGCAAACTATGTTGTAGTTTAATAGGCTGAAATTTTTTTAATTGAAGTTCTGCTGCCAACCTCTTAAGTGTTTCTTTTTAGTGATCAGCTGATAACTAACAAATATCTCTGATTTATTTTGAAACTGGGATTCTTCGAAACAGACTTCATTATTTCAAAACAAACTTTATTAAGCATCATTACTCGGTTATGTTTTATAAATTGACTGTATATTTGCTAAGGTTCCATGGTGCCAGATGGTGCAGATGCTGTGGTGCAAGTTGAAAATACTCGTATTGTGGAACATAATGTTAGTCAAAATTCATTTGACTCTTTGTTTAGTAAATTAATTGTATTGCTTGAAAGAAATCGTTTAAATGTTTTGGTGAAAATTTCCAGTCATTTAAATTATTTTGTGCTGATAGCATTGTAGTGAATGACGTGATATATTCAATTTTTAGAACTTTGAAGAAATTGCAGTAGAGATTTTGGTTGAACCGAAAACTGGACAAGATATCAGGTAGAATAACATTCTTTAGCTGCATATTAATTAAAAAGATTCAGAAATTAAATAATTATTATTATGTAAAAGAAGTAATTATTATATACTATTGTAATAAGTAATTATTCTGATGGGAAATAAGCCTGAATGAGTGATTTTATATTTCTTAAGTGAAACCTTCTGAAATTTGCTGTCTGTATTGCAGGGAAATTGGTTCTGATATCAAGCTGGGAGAAATCTTGCTTTTCAAAGGATGCGAGATAAGTGCAGCTGAAATTGGCATATTAGCAGCATCGGAGAGAAATTTCGTGCAAATATTTCGGAAACCCAAAGTGGCAGTTATTTCGACAGGCAATGAAGTAAGTTAGAAAGATGCGATAACACACAAATATATTCAGTTGAAGGAACTAAAAGTTTAATTTTTATATTAAATTTCCACAAAATAGAGGTTCTTTTTTAAACATCAATTTTGTTCATTACTTCATCAAGCGTCAAACATGGATGGGAAAAAAGATGTAGAATTTAAGGTAGTGGACAGCAGATCGAATGGCTGTCCATTAGGGTCAGTAAGGGACACAAATCGTCCACAACTTATTGCTTTATTGAAGGAAAATAATTTCAAATGCGTGGACATTGGCATTCTGCCAGATGAGTAAGGTTTTTTTTATTGGAATTTGAGTCAAAAACTAATACAGTTACAGAATTCCTTTAAACTAAAGAGATGTAAACAATGGATCAATTATTTGACCTCTTTTGCCCTTTAGAAAAGAAAAAATAGAAGAAGGATTGAAAGCAGCATTGACGTTGTGTGACGTTACTGTTTGTTCTGGTGGCGTTTCTATGGGTGAAAAAGTATCAGTTTTATGCTTAAAACAATAATATAGACAAGTATTAATTTTATTTTTGTTGAAATTGTTGAAGGAAGCAATTCAAACTGCTGCTAAATAACCTTGTAACGGAAGATGGAACTCTGGTAATGATCTTCAGCCATTGCATAATATCATACCAAAATTCTTTACTTCTTCAAATATGAGTTGAATGATGTAAAATCGGTTTAAGGATTATCTCAAAGATGTACTCCAAAACCAGTTAAATTTCACTATTAAATTCGGTAGAGTAATGATGAAACCTGGTTTGCCAACTACTTTCGCATATGGAAAGTGGAATAACAAAGAAAAATTGGTTTTTGCTTTACCCGGAAATCCTGTATCAACTTGGGTTACTGCACAATTATTTCTATTACCTACGCTGAAGAAAATGGCAGGATGGGAACACAACCAGCACACGGTTATCAGTGTACGGGTAAGTGCCCACTTTTTTTCTGCAGATATCGTAGCTTTTTTTTTTAGTGGAAGGAGAATCTAAGTTTATGTAAAGTCCAAGAAACTTATACGAGACAGCTTATTGTCCTTGACATTATCTTAAAATTATTTCTCACATTTTGAAACTTGTTTTAAGTGCACAATTTAAATAGGACTTTGATTTATAGTTAAGCGAGACAATAAAGTTGGATCGTCGGCCAGAATATCGGCGAGCTTGTTTACTGCCTGATCCAAAAAATTTACCTCGCGCAATTTGCTTAGAAAAAGCGCAAATGAGCTCACGACTATTATCAATTCGAGGCGCTAATTTGTTGCTGAAATTACCCCCTTGCACAGATACTAAGTCAACAGTGCAAAAGAACGAAGTGGTAGAAGCAATAGTGATTGGCCGATTGTAAATCATATTCCTTCATTTTTACGATAAGTTTTAATGACTGTTATATAATTCCATACTATAAAGATTTGTCGAAACCTGATTGAAAAGGATAGAAACGGTATTTGTGAAATATTAACACTAACTGTCACGCTCATTGGATTAGCTGAACGTTACGATTGCTTTCAATTCTAGTTTGTTATGTCAGATAGTCCTTCTTTGCTCAGTGGCCTGTCAATGGTTCAGTGGTTTTACGGTGTCAGAAACTACGGTAGAAATATCTTTTAATCTGCCGACTGGATTCTTTAAAAATTCAGTGTTAGACTGAAACAGCAGAAACAACTGGTGAACCAGGAAGTCTTACACTCGAATGGCTCGAGTTTTATTCCTGTTTTAAGTTTCATGTTTATTCATGTTTTATTCATGGTTTTAAAAATCCTTACTAAAAAAACAATGAGGATTTTTAGAAAAAATGAAAAAAAGATTGCCTCATATTAAACTCAAGGAACACAGTGCACAAATACACCGCAATAACAGTTAAAAGAACTTGATTTTAATTTTGCTCATGAGTTTCTCAGAAAACTAACCCTGGTCTTGGCTTGAACAGCTAACTTCGTCTAATGGTAAGTAGAAGTACCACTTATTAGCTCATTTCACCATTACGATTTCAATTATATGCATGAACTTATAAAAAATGAAGAAACAAGAAAATAATCCCTGAAAAAAAAAAAAAATGAAGGGACAAGGAAACAATCCCTGTCAACTAGCATGCATAATTATTTATTTCTTACCTCTTGTCGACAAGCATCTGCAACAACTCCTACCACAACACCACAAAAACCTTGCCTTGATGTCACAATGTATAACACCTACTTACACTCAGAAAATCTTAAACCCGAAAGGTTTTAAAACTAAAATGGTTCATTACTTGCATATAAACCTTCGATTAGTAAGTCACAAAATAAAGAATCAAGTATTGAGTGCTACAAATTGTTTAATTCTTTCTAGAGATGATGCTCTGGGGCAAATTTTGCTTTGATAAATTATTGAAATTCAGAATCTATTCCAGTTCCCCGACTTCTAAATGCATTCCTTATTTGTAATATCAAAAGTCGGGGATTTAGATAACACAAGGACTCATTAAACTAGCTTCAATACCTAAATCCAACAGGCTTCCTTTAAAATCATTTATTGTAAAACAAAATTAGAACCCACATACAGATGCCCCGCATAATTTTCTACTTCCGTTCTTTAATGTCCAAAACAACTAAAATTTGTGCTATTTTTTATGCGCTTTTTATATTTCGAAACAAAATTTTAAGAAGTCACAAGAATTAAAAAATGCATTTTCATTCTGGTTATAAATTTTCAGAAAAAATGACGTATCAAAAAACCTTAACAAAATATAGTGAAAACAAGCAAAACTAAACTATAATGATGTAGCTTTATGGAAAGAAGGTAAAAAATAAGTTCACTACTCCCAGAAAATTTTCAGGTAGCTGTACTAGTAAAAAAACAAATGTTGAACAGTTTACTGCGTATATTCTTATTAGCACAGTACAGCACCGGGAGATTACGCACTATACAACTCACCACATTAAAAGATAAAAACAACTGGAATAACAAAAAATCGAGTTAAATTAGAATTCTTACTTGCTTTCTTCTTTTTTGGGCTCTTCTGCTGTCTGAGCTTCTTGCGCTCCTGGAAATTAGAGAAACAAGTGATGAATTTCCATCCAAACATAGAAAATAAATTTGATACTCATCCTTCCAAAATCACTAATCTCAAAAACTTGCCACTGGAGGACTGCGTATTTTCTGCTGCCATTTTCTTGTAGACGGCTTCAAATAGTTTCAATGATTGCTGTTGCAGTGAACCGATTGCTTCACGTATGTTGGCTGTTGTTTCGTTATCTCTATTTGCCAAGAGCTGCCTCAGTTCACCAAGTTTATTGCGAATTGCTTCAGCCTGAAAACGATACATGGTAGACTTCCTCCGCTTCTTACTACCGATCTTATCATTCTCATTTACCTTTAGATTTCCTAAATAAAATCTTCTTAATGTTGGTTCTTTTAGCAACAATTGCTAGTCAGTCCAGGCAAAACGAAAGAATTCAACGATCTATATAAACTCCGAAGAAATTACGTGAACTTATTCTGGGGTATCACATTCCCTTTCACTAATAATAAAGTTAAAAAAATTGTGAAAATATGAAAGCAAATCAGTGACATCTGCCGAAAACCACCTCTTTCGTATCCACTTGATCTTTGAATTCGGTTAATTTAGAATCGGTATCTTGAATAACGCTTTCCGCCTGATTACAAACTTCAACCTTCTCTTTTCTTTCCGCATCCGCAGCAGCATTCTTTTCTGCTTCACGAATCATGTTTTCAATCTGATCCTTTGATAATCCACCAGAAGAGCGAATCACAACTGAAAATACGAATGTAATGGAACAATTTTTAAGGAACACAAATTGTCTTTTTCACTTTTTTGAAGAAATAGAAGATATATTCTGAGACTAACTTTGCTGTTCCTTGCCGGTTCCTCGATCTCTTGCTGATACGTTAACAATACCATTTGCATCTATATCAAAAGTAACCTCGATTTGTGGCACACCACGTGGAGCTGGAGGTATTCCAACCTTTAAAAAATTAAATGAAGACACATGAGAAGAAAGAGTGTAAGGCTTGAGAATCAAACGATAAGAAATGAACGTACCAATGAAAATTGTCCTAAAAGTTTGTTATTGGTTGCCATATCACGTTCTCCTTGGTAAACTTTAATTTCCACTTGTGTTTGACCATCTGCTGCAGTAGAGAATACCTAAAATAATTCTTCTAAAAAAGTGTATCGTTTTCATTTATAAAAATTAATATTGATGCCTCGAAGATTTCTACATTAAAACTAACGATTAATGATGGTTATAATTTCCTAAATTCGATTATTTTTATTTCTGATGTTAATGAAACTAGTGTTTAATAAACCTTGACATGCTAGACGCCTTTTTTTTCTGAAACTATATTCAGAAAGCAAGGAAAGCAAAAAGTAATTTTTAGTTTCTTACTTATTCGTTCTAATCAATGATCATTTGATCACACACACACACACACACAAAAAATCTTTGTTACTGACTTCCACTGAAGGATTTCAGAAACATACCTGACTTTTCTTCGTAGGAATAGTTGTATTGCGCTGAATAAGTTTGGTCATTACTCCACCCAGTGTTTCAATACCCAACGACAGTGGTGTGACATCGAGGAGAAGAACATCCGTCACATCGCCTGCCAGCACCGCACCTTGAATCGCCGCTCCTATCGCCACTGCCTCATCAGGGTTCACTGCTTTTGACGGTTGCTTACCAAACACTTCGTGCACTGTTTGTTGAACCTTTAGAATATAACGCTAATTTTTTTGTAGCAGCTCTTAAATTGACAACTCATATATTCTCACTGGACAACTCACTCGGCCCTCTTTGCCCTTAAAGGACCACACTTTTTCTTGTATTAATTGTACCACTTTCGCCAGAAATTGTTGCAAAACTTCTAATTCAAAATTCCACATTGCATTCCGTTTTATAAGCAGCATTTTCATCTCATGGAAGCATTAAAAAATGTACTTTTGGCATTCTTGTCATTCCTCCAACAAGTAAAATCTCTTTGATTTCGGATGGTTTAACCTCTGCATCATGCATAGCTTTACGACAGGGCTCGATAGTTCGCTTTATGAGATCAGCTACAAGTTGTTCAAATTTAGCGCGCGTTAATTTCAAATTCATGTGTTTCGGGCCAGAAGCATCCATAGTCAAATAAGGCAGGTTTATATCGGTTTGTGTTGTTGATGACAATTCGCACTTTGCTTTTTCAGCAGCTTCTCGCAAACGTTGCATTGCCATTGGATCCTTTAAAATTTTGAGACTTGAAGAGTTTTTAAAAAAGCAATTTGCGGGTAAATATTTCAATTCATGATTCAAATTCGCTTGTTTCTTCAGGAAAGTGGTTCAGATCAAAGTGAAGATTAATATCATCATTATCATGAATTGGTAAAAGGAAGAAAAATAAAAAAATAAAGGGCAGTTCTAAAACAAGTAGACAGTTCAGGAAATGGCAGTAAACAAATCTTATACTTTATGAATGTCAACGCCGGAATCTTTCTTAAACTCAGCTGCCAGATAATGAACCAATGCATTATCAAAATCTTCACCACCAAGGAATGTATCACCATTAGTCGACTTCACTTCGAAAACCCCTTTTTGGATTTCAAGAACTGATATGTCGAAAGTACCTCCACCCAAATCATATACAGCGATGCTAAAAATTGGTCACATTCATCAGTGAATCAACGAAAAAGCTTTGAACAGAAGTCAGTACCATAAAGAATGAAAGCGTCTAACCGATGTAAACATCGCTTTCTGCAACTGTTTTATAAAATAACAGAAATCTAAGAGCAATCTCACATTTTATCTTCCGCTTTATCAAGTCCATAAGATAGAGCTGCCGCAGTAGGCTCGTTAATGACACGCAATACATTCAAACCAGCAATTTTACCAGCATCTTTCGTTGCCTAAATTCAACAAACAACTGCTTTCCGCAAAAATAAAATTCTCAGCAAAATCCGGATAAATGTAATACATATAAGCAGTTTATAATGTCAACACACACACACACATGGAAACATACCTGTCTCTGAGAATCATTGAAATATGCTGGAACTGTGACAACAGCATTGTGAACAGTTGTACCCAAATAACTTTCTGCTGTTTCTTTCATTTTCATCAAAATGTATGCACCAACCTCAAATACAAATTTCATGAGGTTTAAACCATGTATTATCAAGAAAAATTTTGTTGAAACTACTGCATTTGGTTACTGAATCGCATCATTATTGCTCATATTAGTTCACTTACTTGAGATGGAGAATACATTTTGCCTTGTGCTTCAACCCAAGCATCACCATTAGATGCGCGAACAATTTTAAATGGAACCACTTTCCTAGAAAAAACAAACAGTGGTCAATTCACAGTTGTTTACGAACGGTGACTGTTTCAGATTGAAGAACGGGATTCAACTTCTTACTTATGTAATGATTCACGGATTTCAGGACCAGGAAACTTGATTTTTGGACTTTCCTGGCATAGTGGTAGTAATCAATAAATCTATAAAAGTACATCAAAAAACCTACACTTAAATCGCACACCATTCAATAAACTTCTGCAAAGTATTTTTACAACACTCAAGATTAAGAAATACATAAGGAAAAACTAACACATCTTTTTGCACTTCCGGATCATCGAAACGCCGTCCAATTAATCGTTTGGTAGCATAAAGTGTATTCTGTGAATTTGTAACTGCTTGTCGCTTTGCTGGTGCGCCAACTAATCTTTCTCCGTCTTTGGTAAATGCAATCACTGATGGCGTCGTCCTTATACCTTCCGCGTTTTCAATCACCTACGATGACAAGATTGTCAATAAAAAATTTGGCACGAATTATCTAATGTAACAGAAAATGCATACGCCCTCCGCTCCTGCTATTTTAATTAGCCATCTCCTCATCAATCCACCATCAGTGTTGAAAATTCTCAAACATTTCTAGCAAAACAATCAAATAAATATGATAAACGTTACTTTAGCTTGTTTCCCTTCCATAACTGCAACACATGAATTAGTTGTTCCAAGGTCGATACCAATAACTGTCCCTTTAACACCATCAGATCTAAAAAAGTTCTCTGTGGAAGTAAAGTCAGAACCTAAGGAAGATGAAATAATTCAGAAAGATATGTCAGACGAGAGGTATATATACGAAACTCTAACTCTACTCTATTCTGAGATTTTTTTACCATAAATTATGCCTGTTACCGTTTCCAACCATACATATCATTTCCCATGCATTAAAATTCATGTGAAGCAGCGATTTGAAGCATAGGAGAGAAATTAGATGATCTCATCTAATCTATTTATATTTCTGCGTGAACTTACTTGCATCTGCGAGTAACACCCAACAGAAAGCTATCTGCAGGCCGCACATACAATGTCCGACTGCATGTAGCAGAAACTACTGATCGGATCGCTGAGAACATCATTCCTGTTCTGCTTCTTTCTGTCTGCGTAAGATTATGATGTATCACATTACAATAGCAATACTGGTCATCGAGAACTCCCGAGACACCCCGACCCCCGAATCGTGAAAGTGTTTAACGAAGGCCTACCAATACATACATACACACACATACACACACCCGTCATACCACAATCCCACTGCGTGCATAATCACATCTCCAAACTTACTGTAGTACCTCCGAGGTACTTACCATCTGCTACAGCACTAAAGTATCTTTTCTCCTTGTTTTAACATATGCTTGTCTGCTCGACAAAGCATTTATGTGCGGGGATGTGGGTAAGTCGCTTTTCTGGTCATCTGAATCCGGCAAACATTTCAGGTCGAAACAGAAGTACAGTGATGTCGGATGGGTATGTTTTTCAGCTCGAAATTTATTTTGCCACCAGTTGGATATTACTTTGTTTTAACTATACCAGGTCTCATAGTTAAAAACTCTTTTTAAAAAAAGATTCAACAAGAGTGAATGAATGAAGGTACGACTTTTTAAATCTTACCTTTATCAATACTAAAAGAAAAAGTAAGTGTAATGGCTCCTTTATTTATTAAGCAGTAAGCGATGTGATTTTATAGCACTACAGAAAATAGAATGATCATTTATTAAATAAATAAGCAAGATTAAGGTATGAATTGAGGCAGTATAAAATGATGTAATTAAATTATGATCGAAATATAATCAACTTCTGAAACTTGTTCGGAACTTTCAATAAGTGTGATAAAGAACGATTAAAAAAAGATGTGGGTGCTATACAGTTGTTTCTTGTCCGGTTGATTCCTTTACGGAGGTGAAGTGTGTTGTATACCTGAAAACTACAGCTAAGTTAATATGGCATAATTGTTATAATAAATAACTAATGTTCTGGAATTTCTTTAAAGAGTAAAAGTTTTAAGCTGGACAACGAGCTTATTCGTACGCAGTTTGCACTTTTTGGATTGCATTTGCATTCGGCATCTGAACTTGTTCAAATCTCCCATCATCATCTATTCCAATCCAAGTTCTTCGTTTACTAACCATTTTTCCCATTGTCGTTGTTTTCTTTCTAATCTAGACTAAATGTATCTTTTCAAAACTACTAAAGAGTTATGGATTTTTAAAAATGAAAATCCATAATTCTTTAACGAAATTATTTAATTCACAAAATGTTATTGAAAACGCCTGGATAAATAAATGAAAGTAGCGGCGCATACAATTATCATATCAACACTGTAAAAATAACTAATTCTCACACTCATAAAAACTTTAATTTTAAAATGTTTTAAATCTTCTTTAGTTAACTAGTTACCAACCAGTGGCTACTTACAATTTGAAGCTGGTATGTGAATTTAAATATTTTTTCGAATTTTGAATTTATTCATCCAAAAAGCTTTCACTAAAAAACTTTCAGGCTAGACTAGATATTTTGAAAAGTATTTTCTTGTAAACATTTAAATTAGAAACAAATATTTTGAACTAATTCAGGGAATAAGTAACCTCAACATCGTGATTAATTTTGAGTGGCTCCAACTCATCTTTTAAAAGAAGGAACTTTTCAGGATTGGTTCTGATCCTTTCTTGAAGTAATTTTTTTTGCCTTGTTGATTCCTTACGAATCTGAAATATATTCGTACGCATGAAAAACCGCAAACAATAATTTTGGAGTTTTTAAAAAGCTGAAATTTATTTACTAAAAAACAAAACTGCTAAGATACAAGGCCTTTCCAAATTTGTGAGGTGAGAAATTTCCAAAAATTAACGAGAACCTCTTTTTTCAATTCCAGCTCCCAATCCTCTCCCATTTGCCTGGTTTCCACTTTATTATGCCGATAAAGCAGTGTACAGATGCCATCATAATATTCTGGAAGATAAACTTCAAAGTTCCAAAATAGACTGCAATTGGTATTTTTTTAAGATGACAAACTTTGAATAGTTTCCTAGTTGATTAATTCGAAACAATCCTTGAAATTTCAAAAAGAATTAGTAACTATGAAAATAAGCATACGTAGCAGTAATTGTCGAGTATAAAGTAAAACTTTCTTTACTAGTAAGATCATGAACTGGAATACTTTCAAAAAATTTTTAAGAAAATGATTATTTAGATTGATAAAGCATTTGGAAAAAGTGGCAAAAAGGAATAAAGTACGAAAAAGTAAAGCATGATTGAGTGAGCGCGGAATTTTCACACCAATAGGATTACCTTTATCAAAGAATTGTTGATCCTTGTATGTTCGTAAATCATTTGTTCTTCTACGACAACACTCCATGTAACAATTTATTGTTATCACTAGCGATAAAATAAGAAGAATGACAACCATAATGAATATCGCCATTTGTGGCACTGTGAATTTGCCATTAAATAATTCGACAAACATTCTTCATATCAATAAATGAATTGATGAGATTAAATAGAATAGGAACTGCTTAAATTGAAATAGTCCAGAGAATATGGACGAATTTTCTACTACAGCTCTGCCGGAAATTTCATTTCTGATGTAAATTACTTTTCAAATGATCGGAACGAAGTGAAACAAATTCTAAATCAATGATTAGTAACTATAACAATCTGTTAGTTAATGGATTAATATTTGTCTGGAGGAAAACAATCCCAGAAAACATTTTAGATATGTGACTGGGCTCCTGGTGACTCAGGTCCAAGAAAAACAAGTCTAACACTTTTGGAATATCTCAGTCCAAGTATGAATTCATTGTGACTGTGGTAGTTGCTACTACATTTCAATGTGGTTTGATTAGCAGGTACCAAAGTAAGTCTGGCTAAACATCATAATAAAAGTAGAACTACAAGAGATGCTCTTTTGATAAACTAAATGTAATGGCACTGTTCGATGAGCGATGAAAGTAAAAAAAGGTTGGATGAGTTCTGACAATTGGTTGAGTGAGAGTGAATTTCAATATGAATATGGCATCAATTTAATAGTACCTTTTATTGTGGTGCTGAAAATGCATAACTAGTTATTGCATTCAATCTGTATTAACTGGTGATATCGAATACTGATGAATAATTGTTAGTAATTTTACGAGCTTAAGTGCCACAATTCTCCTTACTCTAAATAACTTCAAAAAATTCTATCAAAATTGAAATTTGATAGATAAGTGATGTATGAACAAATGAATAATGTGATAGGTGAAAGAGTACCACATCGTGAAGATATGAGGACCTCTCTTATAATGTAGAAATAAATCACTAAGTGTGAAGAACAGCGTAACTATCTGAGGGATGAATTTAATTGTTCATTTGAATTGAAGTCCTCAATAGTTACTGCAACAGTGATCTTGACAATCGTGCCTTTCTATACAGATGAATTAATGCCATTATTGCGGAAAACATTTTCGTGATACAATACTTCATCATGAATTCATTAATTGTAACAGTTTCTATTTTTTATGTCAAACATTCTGGAAAAAGAAGAAACATAAATCGTAATATCCAGCTGCTATTACCTACCCGAGCATAGTTTTTAAAGCTATCCAAATTAATTGGCATTAATTCAAATATGTAAATCTTTTTTTTATATATATGGAAAGATATAGGTAAATCTTTTTTTAATAAATTATATATAGATAAATTTTTTTTTCTTTAAAAAAATTCTTTCCATAAGCTAATCTGTTCATTTATTAAATCCTTCTAAGCATAAGAAAATAACTGCAAGGAAAACTTCTCTATTTAATTCTTGACAATTTTTACGAATTTATTTCAAAAATTTATTAATAATCTGAGATACAAAAGATGAAGTGTCGATTTGTAGATGTTGTCCTTCAAAGGCTAGTAAGTGCAACCGTTTGCTCTCTAACAATTCTCGCAAGCCAAGACGATCCTGAAATTATGATTCAGTTTAAAGAAGAAAAAACCTATTTATTTATTGTATTTTTTAATTAAAATATTTACTAAAGCTAGATTCATATTTTATTCATGGTCTGAATAGAATGAGATGATGAGGATGAAAGGTTTCTATCAAAATTATCACTCCAGACAAACTTTTACGATCACCATATTATTTTGCATTAGCTTGTTGTTAATATTCAAAAACAAAATATCTTCAATACTATATATAGGCAAAATTAAACAAAATAACATGTAAGATAAAGAAAATTTGTGACCTCTGTGTAAATTTTTGATTTCTCCAGTGGAACGATTTTTGATGTGTCATTCTCGAGATAATATTCGAACCACTATAATAAAAGTAAAATTTTGCAGCAAGAAAGTTTCAAGTCATAAACCGAATTAGACAATTAAAAGATTATAAAATATCTCTGCAAAAGAATCCATAAAATGATTCCTTTTGGGCGTTGAATAGTGTCCACATATTTAAACAATGTTTCACAGACAAAATTTGGCTGATGCTAGCCTATTACAGGGCCTGCAGATTCAATTACTACTTTTACTGTAGCATAACCTTTATATTCATAAGTAATATTTGCTAATTAAAACGTCAGTTTGGTGCTCAATCAGTGCAGTGCAATGAATTTACGAAAGAAATTAGTGAACCTCAGATTCTCTCGGTACTACCATTGTATCATTCAGAAATTTCACCAGCACCAAATTTTGTAGTTTCAATAAATTTTCTTTATATGTCTCATTCAGATTCTGAAAATGAAGATTTCCTAATTTTTCACAAATTTCCTCCAAGTCTCTGAAACAAAAAAAAAAAAAAAAATTCGAAAGAAAAACTCGACACATCGCTTTTGAGTGCTTTCATATTCTCATATTAATGTTAAAATATTATCCCCGAATATTTTGTTAACTAGAAAGATTTAAAAAGTATAGTAACTCTTTCATTGTTGATATCAGCAAGGAATATACTGCTTTGTCGGTAGGTTGTTTCATCTAATGGATCGTGCCAATATTGCGCCTGGACTACCCTTAAATTTATTAACAAAAAAGTGAATTATAAGCACGATGAATTTATTATAAATTAGTCGTAGTGAACCCCTAACAAATGCATGAATAAATTTTGCTTAGAAAAGTGCAATATTGGAGGAAGAGTAAGCATGAAATTAATGGCTTCTATATTTTCAAGTTGTAAATGTATTAAAATTAAACAGAAAAGAGAAACAAACGTATTCTGGACAAAGCCAACATAAGCACCCCACTCCAATAAATTTCGTACGCGATCACAAATATAACTTTCAGCTGGACATAGCGGTAATCCAAATACTCCTTGATGTTGTCCGCCCAATGAAATTAAATTTTTCATCTGTGGAACAGGACAGCGTTGCACCAGAGCACGTCTACATCATACTTTAACAATAAATAAAAAAATCTTAGCAATATTTGAAATGCATTGCATTACCAAAACATTCAAAAATAAACAATTCAAATAAGTAAGTAAAATCACATCAGTACCAGTGTCAGAGTTATTATCAAGCACAATTATTTGTTTATAACATTCATTTAAGAGTCAAGAAGCGCTGTTAACAAAACTTTCGCAAAAGAAAAAATCGGTAGCATGATTAAAAAATTGAAATTAAAAAGTACAGAAATTGTGCGCCCTGTGAAAAACCAATAGAATTGTATCCATTTTTCAATTTTGCGTCTTTCTGTATTGCTTGACATACTTCTGCTACCTGATCATTTACATTACCGAAGAAACCATGTTCCGTATCCTAAAAAATACAGACGATATGAAACTTGAAAATCAAATGAGAGCCTTTATTAATTACCACATTACAACGAAACGAACCATTACAACGTTGGATCCTATCATTACTGAATAAATATAGACATTAGGGATGTTCTGCTTTAGTATTTTTTCTATTTTTCCCAAACTTAATGGATTGCAACAGCTATCACCTGAAAAACTTTCATACAACACTGAAACGATTGAAGCACAACAACTTTAAAATCAATAATGAGTTTCAAAAATTTAATTATGACCTCTAACGTAAGCTTTCAGAGAGTGATGATAATTCAGGAAATATACTAATTAAATTCGCTAAGTATTGCTTGCGTGTGAGTGTTTACGAGAAGAAAGGTTGCTTCCATAAAAATAGAAATCTTGAAAAATTAAAACTCGGGATACTTGGAAAGTTTTCTAATTTTCTCAAAAGAAACTGCAGAAATTTTAATAAAAAAATACCCATGCCATGCCACAGTACAATTGGTGTAGGCTCCACATTGCTGAGGATTTTCTGTAGAAACTGGGTGATAGAATTAGTTGTGATTGTTGCCGATCCGATAGAAAGCAGCCAAGTAATGACAAAAACACAATTGGTTACCATTTGTAGTAATTGTGTCTCACCTAATTTACAAGTAAAAGTTTTTTGGCAAAGAATTTTTTGGAAGATTAATCGAATTGACAAGGAACGAGATAGCACAGTAACAACAAAAAAAAAAACATTAATGCCGAGCATTTGTCCTTGGATTCTATGACCTTTTATCCATTCAAGAGTCATGAAGATATTAAAGATTATTAAATACATAGTTAAGAAATGTTCTTTATCGCATACGCAGCTTGATATTTGAATTAAGTCTACGCATACTTTCAATTATATAGTTGTTGCTCTTCCTTCTTCAGCTTTTATTGAGATGAAGAGTAAATTAGCTAAGAAGTTAGTTGTCTTAAAAGTGAAAATGTAAGTAAAAATAAAAATAAAATAATTGGTCGGAGTTCGAATTGCAAGGAATCAGTTGCGGAGCATAGCTTTCTTCTGTCAATGATAATAGAAGTTCCTCTTCTCGTTAAGTGTTTCACTGGCTTGCAGTCTTCATAAAATACCATCATCCATTTTACTTATTCTATTGAAAGATATACTTTTAAGATTTTCATTTACAGAATATCTTTTCCTCAAATGTGAGAACGTTTCTAGAATGCTTCCATTCAAAATACACTCTATTATCTTCAATGAAAGAACAAAATGTCCTAATTGGGTGATTCTCGAAAGTGATCGTTTTTATATTATTATTCTTATAAATTTCAAGATTCTTAATATAGTATTATTATGTCTTTAAATTTTCCACAACATAACGGATATTGATAAATAAGGCTTTTTCCAATCGATGATTTTTTCAGTCCTTTCCAGTAAAGTGCGGTTGACATATCCTACTGCTTCCTAATGGAAAATAGAGATCTGTCTTTCTGGTTGAGATTGAAATTCAGGAAAACGAATAAGTTATTAATGTTAAAATATCATTAATATCGTCTACCACTATGAATTTAATGACCTCGCAATTCTTTTGCAATTTTTATGGAAATATACAGTGAATTAATTTTATTACAATTTAATCGCACATTCAAAATTTACATTTCATAGCAAAATATTACGAAAGTCAACTATTACAAATTTTAGTTACATTCTTTTTGCTTAGTAAGATGCATTTAATTTGATAGTGTGAATATTTTTAAGTGGTGGAAAA